ATGTTAGCCTTCACACAGGTCGCCGACCTTTCTCGTGAAGCTTGTGGGGAAGCGTTTCGGACTCCAAGGTCTTAAACGGCATGGCCGGGTGCACCGCAATGGTAGGATCCATATCTGCCAGCATGCGGGAAGGGCTTTGTCTACAGTTTGGCCTCACCAAACACCTCCAGATGGTGCATAGCAGATTAAACCTTTTGTCTGCCAGATCTGTACAAGGGATTCTTCACAAAACGAGATGTGGAAGCCCACATACGATCCACACTGGAGAGAAACCATTCCATTGCAACCTCTGTGAAAAGAAATTTGCAAGAAGGGTGGAACTAAATATGCATTTAAGGGGCACAATGGGGAAAAGAGACACTGGTGCCCATACTGTGGGAAAGGATTTTTAGACTTCAACAACCTGAAAAGGCACAAATATATCCACAGGGGAGAAACACATTCCTGCCCTCATTGCCCAAGAACTTCACACAGTCAGGCCCCTGAAAAAACATGTTAAAAATGTACATAAAGTCCAATGAGAGATGGACATCCAAGATGACACCCTATTCCAGTGAGAATAGTAATGGTTTTAATAATGAGAGAAGGAAAGTCTGTAATGTGAGAATAATTTTTTTAATTCAGTGTATCTGTAAAGCTAATGAAGAATTGCATGCTTTTATGTTATGTTCATTAGGATGATTTCTTTGTTTATTATTTATTTTTTTAAGGAGACTTAAAGGAATGGTTTGACATTTTAGAAAATTTGCTTTTTGCTTTCTTGCTGAAAGTTAGATGAGAAGATCATATCGGTGTCGTGTCTGAATGTAAAGTATGGAGCTGGAGCAATGAGGCGAGTAGCTTAGTGTAAAGACTGGAAGATGCAGATCCTCTAAAGCTTTGTTTAAATTGTAAAAACATACATTTTTGATTTTAAATTGTACAGATGAAGCAAAAACGTTTTTTTGTTTGTTTTTTAACTTTCACTCTGGTCCCAGTCTTTATGTTAAGATAAATGGATTGTCTCTGGGCTCCAACTCCGTGTTTAATGCACAGCTATGAGTGGTACCAAATCTCTTCAGGGCACTGTGTGCTCTTCACATGGTAAAGAAAAGTGGAGGCATTTTATAATATTGTCAGCAGATATGTATAAATCTCTTGCTGTTTAAATATTGAAACAGTTTTCTACTGTTTCCACAAGACGCAACTGTGAAAGCAAACATTTGGACAGCTGTTACAGTGTGATTTTGAAAGATACAATAAATGTATGAAAAATTATTGAATTGTAAGTATTAGTGTATTGTTAACTGTAAAAATGTTAATAATTTGAATTAAAACAATTTTGGTTCTTTCATTGCATTGCTTTTCCCTGCTTTTGCAATTGCCACCTCTAAAAAGGAAAGGTGCATTCACATTGGACAGGAAGCAGATTTCTAGCTTTGACTTTAACCATTGGAAAGTTTTTGCAGTCTGTTTGATCCCCCAAAAGCCAGTGAATGTAACCTCAAACACACATTTCACTCAAGTTGACAGATTTTCAATTTCCCCACAAAACCCACGTCCATTTATGTCCTTACATTACTTTCCAGTGCTGATAAAATGGCTAAACAAATTAAAGTCTGAGTTAAGCTGACATTTAACCTTGTCTTATTTTGTTATTGTCTCGAATCATGCTGTAATACAAAACAGTTTTAATGGCTTCATTGTTTTTTGGGGGGGGGTTTTAACGGAAGCTTGTGTCCCATTTTCACAAAGATCTCACTACATTCAACCAAGATGTAGGTGTAATGCTAGACAATATTGACCCATCCATCCTTACAATTGTAAACATCTTAAGAAATTGTACATATTTTGAATTTACATTTGACTGCTATTGAATCATGATGCATAATTTTGATTCAAGATATTTTCTTTGTCCTGTCATTTCAGAAAACAAGCAATAAATGTAGAGTTGTCAAACTCACCCTCTTCAGTCTTTCTTTCTGATGTGTAGATGTTACATGCAAATGTTCATCCATCCATCCATCGTCAACCACTTATCCTGCATACAGGGTCGCGGGCAAATGTTCAATGTTGTCATTTTGTTCACAGCTTTTCCACAGTTTATTGCTAACTAAATCTTGACTATGATACAATTCGAAGCATGTATGCTATTGTTTGGAAATTCTAATTAAAACTGACTAGACTTGCCACACTGATGTTTTCGTTTTAAATCAATGCAGAATAATGACCTGCAGTTAGTGTTGTCAATAACTTTATTAGCAAAGTTCGAGAAATGCCTTAAGGTAATGTGAGGTGGTGGGAAAATCAGTCAAGTCTTGAAATGAGGTTTCTTTAGTTCTTTTAATTCAGTGTATCTGTAAAGCTAATGGAGAATTGCAATCCTTTTTATGTTATGTTCATTAGGATGATTTTTTTTTTTAAGGAGACTTAAAGGAATGGTTTGACATTTTAGAAAATTTGCTTTTTGCTTTCTTGCTGAAAGTTAGATGAGAAGATCAAGATCGGTGTCATGTCTGAATGTAAAGTATGGAGCTGGAGCAATGAGGTTAAAAAATGTATCTAATTAATTACAAGTTTTGTAACTTGTTTGTAGTTTCGTAATTAATCAAAAGGAATCACATCAATATTTGCTGTGATAAGCATTTAAAATATTCTAATTAATAATAATATAATAAATTTTATTTATAATGCACTTTACATTTCAGGGAAATCTCAAAGTGCTAATTTAAATAGATTTTGGTTGATGAGTGCATCAATGATAATACTTATTTAGCTAAACATCTTTATTTCCCAGTCAGTTAGAAGGCTAAAATAGTTACAAATACCTCTTGTGCCAACATTTTTTCTCTTAAATTCAAATATTCAAATATATCAATATTTACCGTCTCTATTGCACTTGTCACACTAACCGGATGGAAAGTAAACTCCTTTGATCGGCGCCGTTGAGCCAATCAGATTACAGCAAAAACGAGGATCAGTCCAAGTTTGGAGGAGACCCTCAAATCGCTCATATCGAATGAATTGAATGTTTTGGTTTGGCCCAGTGTTACGACCATAGACTGGATATAAAACGTTAATGTGTGTATGGGATGTTGTTGTGGTTTGCCGGAAGACTGGATGATTCACGGCTAGGAGGAGTTGTACGGTTTGGAGGGCGATTCAAATTACTTTGTGACTCATTAATCTTACAAGGGACAAGTAGTTGATATCTCAATTGGCATCTCCTGTGAGAGTTTGTGTTGTGAGCTGAAGCAGCAGGCAGCTCCCCAACGAGGGATGGCTATGCCGCCGAAGGGGAAACTAGTGATGGGCTGGGTAATGACAAAAAGTCCAGACAATCTGAAAAAGAGATAGATCTGACAATGGAAGTGGAAGTAGAGTGACGAGTCCCAAAGCACAAGGAAAATGCCAAGATCTGAAGAGGAGGGTGGATTTAGGATGATAGTTAAATTCAAAGATAAAAGTGACAAAGCCTTAAACCCACTCAGACTATCGGAGGCTAAAAACAAAATGGGAAAAGTTCTAAATGTTAAAATGATGAATGAATATACTTGTTTTTTGCAGAATGATAATCAGAGGTTGAATGCCCTTAAAGTTCGGCATTTGCTTAACAGGCCTGTTGAATGTTTTATCCTGGTCAGGCTAAAAATGCTAAAGGAGTGATCTATGTAAGCCTTGAGATAGAAGAGTGACATCTTGAAGAATTTAAAGGGAGCTGAGGTTGAAGCTGTACGGAGATTCAAAGAAACCGGTACTGCTGTGCTATTAACATTCAAGCAAGATATTGTGCCAGCAAGGGTCAGCCTTGGATATATTAGCTTGCCAGTAAGACAGTATATTCGTACCCCCACTGCGTTGTTACAATTGTCAACGCTATGGCCATGTAGCAGCAGCATGCGGAGGGAAAAAAAGATGTGGGAAGTGTGGAGGAAGCCATGACTTTATTCAATGTAAAGCTGATATAGTCAAGTGCTGTAACTGTGGCGGAAATCATGTATCTTCATTTAGGGGTTGAGCATCATGTTAGAGCTGTGGGAGTAGAGAAATTGAGAGTTGAAGGCAAAATATCATATGCAGATGCCCTGAAGAAAGTGAGGGGAACGGGGGAACCTTCCAGACAGTGGTATTTGAAGTACCTTCTGATTCCCACCTGATAGGGAGAAAGTGAGGCAGATTGGGGGAACCCAGTCATTCCTGGCATTCATGGTAGATGTTCTGTGGGCAGTTAGAGACCAAACCAGAAGATCTGACGTTATTAAAGTGGTGGTGGATGCTGCAGAGAGATTTCTGGAAGAGGCATATATGGGTCCTGAAGAGTTGCACAAGTATATGAGACAGAAACTGGAAGTTTACGAAAGAGGTAGGGGAAAACAAAGATCACTGACAGTAATGAGGAATGTACTGGGGAAAAAACATGGACATAAATGATGATAGTTAAATTGCTGATGTTTTACATCTTACAATGGAATGCACGGAGTTTGATGGCTAATGGACAGGAACTTAAGAGATTTG